TGGGTCAATTTGAACTTATCAATGCTGGGGAGAATTGCGTTGATTAAATCTTATATATTACCAAAATTTCAATTTCCAATCCAAAATATCCCATTATAGCCAGATACAAAAAAAGTAAAACTATGGCAAGGAAAGTTAGAAAATTTTATTGCAGGAAAGGGAAAGAAGATAAGATTTATAAATAGCATCTAGACAGGGTAGGGTCAAAAGGGGGGATTAGGAATACCACAGCTCCAAAAATATTATGAAGCCTTGGAAATAAACCAAATAATTAAACTTATACAAATTGACGAGACTTGTAAAAATTCAGATTGGGTTAAAATGGAAAGTGAAATGAAAATGGTTGTTCATTGACGTGTCAACGGAAGTTTCTGGGCAATTATTTAATATAATTTATTTTGAATTATATTGTTATTTCTTTAAAGCTCTTTCAACAAGATAAAAATAAAAGCCAGGATCTAATTAGGTTATTTCCCTGATGAAACTGCCACCACCAGCAGAATCTGGAGGGAGTGCAACTCTCCCTCAGGTAACCTCGCCAAATAGATTTCAGAGATGGAAAAGCTTCCTGAACTCATGTGTGTGTGTGTGTGTGTGTGTGTGTGTGTGTGTGTGTGTGCGCGCGCGCGCGCACGCACGCACGATCACATGTGCGCAAAGGAGACTGTGTTGGGGAATAGAGCTATGTCATGCTAGCATTTGTGCAGTTTGATGTTATCTAGTGTCTTCTGGAATACGGTAAACTAAGCTGGTTGAATAGCTCAGTGAGTTAGGCCTCTGGTTGCGGAGTCAGAGACTGGTAGTTCAGTTCCCTATTGTGAATTTTGAAGAGCCAGCCTTGGGCAAGCTGCACAGTCCCAGGATGCTCCCAGAAGTAGTAGTAGTTCTGCGTACTCTCTATGTAGAAATTCTGAAAAGGGTCACCACAAGTCACAACTGACTTGACAGCAGCAGCAGCTGAACAAATTCAGTTGTGCTTTGTTTTCTTCCTCATCCATGTGGAGACATGTAGGAGAAGGTCTAAGTACTGTAATATGTGTGACCCTGTTATACTCCTGGACCTCTCAGTGGCTTTTGACACCACCAACCATGGTGTCCTTCTGGATAGGCTAGCTGAGCTGGGCGTCGGGGGCACAGCTTTATGGTGATTCTGCTTCTTCCTGGTTGACTTTGTCCAGAAGGTGGTGCTGGGGGACAGTTGCTCTGTCCCATGGTGTTTATGTCATGGGGTTCATCAGGGCTCGATATTGTCCCCCATGCTGTTTAACATCTACATGGAACCGCTGAGATACATCATCAGGAAGTTTGGGCTGAGGAGTCAGCAATATGCTGATGACACTCAGCTCTACCTCTTGTTTTCCACCAATCCAGGTGAGGCAGTTTCTGTGCTGAACTCGTGTCTGGACCTGATAATGGACTGGATGAGGGTTAATAAATTGAAACTCAGTCCAGACAAGAAAGAAGTGTTGTTAGTGGGTGCTTCGCCGCACAGGCTGGAGGGCCATTTCCCTGCCCTGGATGGCGTTGCACTTGCCCTAAGGGACAAGGGTGCACAGCTTGAGGGTGCTCCTGGACCCCGGTCTAACTCTGGAAGCCCAGGTGGACTCGGTGGCCAGGGGCGCCTTCCTTCAGCTATGAAAATTATACCAGCTATGGCCCTACCTGGATGAGCAGAGTATCATGACAGTTATACATGCACTGCTAACATCCTGTATAGATTACTGTAACGTGCTGTAGGTGGGGCTGCCTTTGAAGACAGTCCGGTGACTGCAACTGGTCCAGAATCGAGCTGCGCAGCTGCTAAGTGGCTGCTAGGGAACACATCAGGCCAGTTCTCTTCAAATTGCATTGGCTACCAGTCGCTGCCCGGGCCCAATTCAAAGTGCTTGTTTTGAAATATAAAACCCTAAATGGCTTGGGACCTGGATACCTGAAGGACCACCTCCTTCCATATGAACTTACCCAGCAATTAAGATCTTGTCAGGGGCCCTCCTGAAAAAGCCATCTCTCAAGGAAATAAGAGGGATAGCTTGTAGACAAAGGGCCTTTTTTGCAGCTGCCCCTAGACTATGGAACGCCATCTCGAGTGAGATTCGTCTGGCGCAGACGTTGATAACGTTTTGGTGCTAGGTCAAAAACTTCCTGTTCCAGAAGATTTTTAATTGAAATAATATCAACTGTGGGTCCTGATGAAAATTTTTAGAGTACTGTATACATTTATTTTTTGATCTTGTATTTTTTTCTTAAACTACAACATAAACATAAACATAAAACACATAAACCAAAATACAAATCAACTGTGTTGGCCACCACCATAGTCGGGACCTCTTGCAGTAATCCTCTTCTTTCTCTGTCTATCTTTTTCTTCCTTTATTGTCCTCTTCTCTAGAATTGCACTGATTCTTGACTTGGAGCTTTCCCCTTTCCTCTTGTTAGCACATATTCAAGAAATTTACCCCATATATCATAGAAATTATTTTTCATCTCTCCTTTTTTAACCTTAAAGTTACAAGTTAACTTATTATTTATAGCAATGTTCCATATTTCATTATACCATTCTTCCAGTCGAAATTCAGACTTTGATTTCCATTTCCTAGCTATTATTAATCTGGCTGCTGTTAATAAATTGGTAATCAACTCTCTAGTCATCTTATCATATTCCACATTCTCAAATATTGGTAACAAAGCTATCTCAGGATTATCTATATCTTTTTCACATATGTCATTTATTTCTTTAAAGATTAGTTTTCAAAACCTTTGTACTTTTTCGCATTCCCACCACATATGAAAGTATGTACCAATTTCCTTTTCACATTACAACAGACATTCAGATAACAAGCGTTAATTTTATTCAATTCTGTCGGTGTCAAATACCATCTTAAACCCAATTTGAAAAAAATTTCTCTTACTATATAAATCGTAAAACCCTCATTTTTCACATCTTCCTCCATTCTTCATCATTTATTCTTTTTCCTAAGTCCTGTTCCCACACTAACTTCAATCCTTCTTA